GCCTGCTTAGTTTTATTACCTAGTTCGAACTTTAAGAACTCGTAACTCTTTTTGTACGCCTGCAAGAAGTTTAGCTAGTTGACGGCTCTAAAACAATTAATGCTCCTGTGTTTGATGATGCAAAGAAATTTAAAAAATGTTTCTTACCACATTCACCATATCTGGCCATTTCTATCTAGGCACAAAAGGCTTTTGTATCTGCGGGAATCAATTTCCAGTATTTGTTGAGCCTATATTTCTTTTAATGGGCCTAGTCTGGGAAAATGATTAGCATGGAGACGTTGCTGCGATATGAAGACGTTCTTAATCCTTCGCCTCTGAGTTTTAATGGGTATGAGAATTGGCGATGGAGATAAGAACCTTTAAGGGCCTGGATCATCACACTGAACCTGCGTTCGTCGATTTTCGACGAAATCGCCCCCCTCATACATCTCACTAAGCCAAATCTCCGATGATTTATTAGCCTAGGAGATTTTCACTAAATATTTTTCTTTTAACGATAAAAGATTTACTTATGCACGTGAGCGAGTAAAGTAGCACATAAAGAAACCGACGATGATCTGCGAAGATTCTAAAGAATTTACGATTCGTAGAAAATCCCCGAACTCAACTTGTGTAAATTTGCATTTCAGTATACTTTCCTTATTATTATGCACCTTTAAACACAGAAAGACATTCAAAACAAGAACTCAAGTTCTGCCGAATTCTAAAGTTTGCTTTCATAAACGGCTCAATTTTCAATACAACCGGTTTTCGCAAGCATAAGGTCGACACGTAATTGCTTCCATCCAATTCAATTAAAAGATGTTTAAAAAAACAAACCATCAATCGTTAGATTAGCAAAACGATATAAACTCCCAAAAATCGTAAGGAAAATAAATGATGGCAGCATTTTCATTTCAAAGCAATTTCGGAACCCATCAACACAATTGCTTACTTTAATGCAAAACAATAACGAATCGAAACAATATTAAGTACGGATCCGTAATCCATTGAAAATGAGCATCTAAAGGTTTCAAAATCGTTACAGTCGCTTGGAGAGAGCGCCAAATCGGTCAGTAATCATACGATAGCGCAAAAACCGACGGCACAGCGACTTACCGTGGCATCAAAAAGCTTTCAGAATGTCGGGGAACTCGATTAGCGGTAGAGATGGTTTCTAGTTAGGTACAACATAAAAAATGATAACAAAACAATACAAATCCTTCCCCAACCGCTTCAGAATTCATAAATTGCTAACCAGGTGACATTACGAATACTTCATAGTCGAAAGACAGACCTCCGCGATTAAATTCCCACCGATCTTGGAATCAGCTACTTACCTGCATTCGACGTAGAACTTTACAAATGCATAGCAAGGGTGAACCACCTATGAACTTTTGCTGATGAATAAACAAATATTTGACACTGACAGGGGATAGCCAGTTTATTCGAATGGATGGTTGCATTTCGTGGGACTTTCAAGGTATTTGACTATGCTCAAAAACAGTTGGTTCTGAATTGCAAAACGATGACGATGAACCAAGTAAAAAGAACACAAAACACCGTGCGAAAAACCCACCCAAAACAGACGGTGGCAGAACGCCAAAATCGCTAGTGTACAATTTATGCAAGAAATGAATTGGAGTGTATATTGCAGAATTTTGACTTCCAATCTTGAAATCAACCGACAAACTAGCCGACCTAAAAAAAAATAAATGCTCCTATAAAACACGTGAGTACCTAAAATGTTCAGCAATGAAAAGTGCGTACGGATTACTAACAAATACCAGGGTATTGACGTACGTCAGGTCTCGCCAGAATGGTGGAATAAGCAGCCCGGATAAAAGAAAAGCGGGTATAGTGTGCTTTTGCAGGAAAGATAACATACAAAATAGACCTTTATTGATTCCTACTGACCCTAGTGCGGTTATTGAATTACCCACCTAGGAAAACTAAGGTTTAAATTTTCTATGTGGCGTTTATGGTATCATTTTGAACCCAAAGTGGATCAGTAAGATTGGTTAAAGAAGGCCCAAAATGGTAGAAGCAGAGAAATACCTATAAATACTACCGCTTTGCACGGCTGCTTCACACAATGGCTGTTCCCTTCGGCATGCAACGGCTACTTAATTTAATGTTATTGTAAAATTGCGTTTAACTGTTTGTTTCCGGAAAGCTTGCAAGAGTCTACCTTGTTGTTTCAAAAGATTCAACACTTTCATAGCAAGTAAGATTAATTCTTTACATTCTAATTCTCTTAAATAGGATCCATCTGCCTACCTCACCGATAACACCAGAGGGTTGAACTTTGCGAAAATTGCTCTCAGTTCAAATACAGAAGTTCTGTGATCGCTATCTTGTATTTTTTGGTTCTATGAAGCATAGGAGTAATTCTGTTGTTTCGTGTTTTGCACAAACCCCACGAGTGACTAGGTGGGCCGCGCTATGCGTGGCGTACCATTGTGAACCAACCGAAATCAAGGAATGGTGCTTTCCGAAGCAACACAGGACCAACAAACCAATAAAAATGTACGCGCTTGATTTGAACTCGTGTGCTAAGCTCGCCCCTCAATGCCAGTGATTGTGAGAAGTTGGTTCCTGGGTCGAATTGACTATTGTCGTGCTCTTAAACTACAGGAGAGTTTAGTTGACCTTAACTGTCGATCAGAAAACAAGTGTCCAGCTCACACGATTCTAATGCTGGAGCATGACCCAGTGTATACCGTTGGGATTCGTTCAAAATCCTGTACTCAAGAGCAGCAAGAAGAGCTGCAAAGATACGGTGCCCAGTTTATTAGGTTAGTGGATTCAATTTGTTCTGATGACTAATGTGTATATTTTACACCAGAACTAACCGCGGTGGTTTGATTACATACCATGGACCTGGCCAGCTTGTGGCTTACCCAATCGTCAATCTCCGAGGGTCAGAAATGGCCGGTAGAGGTTTAAAGTGGTTCATTGATGCTCTGGAGCAGTCAGGTTATGAAGTTTGCCGAGAATTCCGAGGCGATAGCTTTTATAAGGGCAGTGTTCTGTTCCCCGATATAACTGGTGCTACCGGTGTTTGGCTAAACAAGCACAATAAAATTATGTCTATTGGTATGTCATTAAGACATTTATGCGATTTTACAGACCGACCTTCACGTATACTGTAGACCACGTCCCCTATTGGCAATTCTGTTTAACCTACTCGTTACCACAAAGTCGGATCTTTTTTTCGACCAACTCGCTTTTTCAGTCGATTTTGTGCTTCATTTACCGTTTTTGCATCTAGGTGTACATTGCACTCGCAGTATAATCCATCATGGCGTCGGTCTGAATTGCACTATGGACCCACTCAAGTGGTTTGACAAGATTGCTCCGTGCGGTCTTTCTGACTGCAGGATGACATCGTTGGAATCTGTCATCGGAACGAGAATTACTCCGGCTGAGGTGGCTCCGAAGCTCTCAGAACGACTATTCGTCAATCTTTTCAACCACCAGGTCAACTTGGGGTGTACCTTTTCTAACTTTTTGGCAGAGGAAAACTCGCTCTCCTGGGACGAAGTTGTTCGACTCATCCTCGAAGACGCCGACTTTAGAGCAAAAGCTATTCAAGTAGCTTGGGATAAACCACCCCAACTTTGGTGATAACCAGTTGTCCTATGGATAAAGCCACCCATCCACACGTATCATTGTTTTTTCCCTCGCATCACTCAAGTAACCTACAATCAGCCCTCCTTCGGGCAATTGATGCACCTTATGGTACTAGCGTACCTCGCCATGATCGGTCCCCGTATTTTTTCTCGCAAAACGTAGAACCAGGGCTCACCGCTCATTAATCTTCAAGTATAGGACAATAGATGTGGATTTCGAAATTTCCGTCGACACAAATCTTATGTACACTTATCATCCAATTCCTGCGGTGAATTGGCCTATTTTTTCATAGACCGGCATTTAGAGTCGACAAAATCCAACGACCAACATACACAAAACGGAACAAGTTTTTCATCCCACTAGTGTTATTTAGCACAAATAGCATAGAAGGACTGTGATATCCACGAAAATACAAAGAAAGGCATGGTGGTGCAAATGGTTAAGACTCGCGTCGGACCACCACTCTAGAAGTTTTCACAAGGAATTCCAGCTCTTCCTCTGTCTCCTCATCTACTTGCTTTTCCGTGTCGATGCCTAAGGTAACGAAAAACGAGACACTATCACTACTTGCCAATGGCAGCGACACCACCTTCAAGCTAATCGAACTGGTAGAAATGTCAAGACTTAGGTTATATACATATTAGATTAAAATCAGGAGCGGTAAGTGGCCTGAAAGTACGTGAAAACATACCGCGAAGCTTGTCGCGTTTAGCCTTATCGGCGGAGTGGCGTGAAAGCAAGCTGGTTCGCCAGTCAGTGAATTCCGAGGTGAGCATCTTTCGACGCTCCATTACCTCACGGCTGGCCTTGGATGCTAGCATTTTGTCCTCTGCATCAAACTGTGCCGAGTACTTGCTGGCCAGACTCTTCTTTATAGCCTGTAAAAGACTTGTCAGTCATCGTGAGTTTATCAAGCAGGACGGCGAGGAGGGTAAGACTAACGTGAATCTGCTCGGGAGAGAGGAGGGTCGGTGGAAAAGGTCGCCAGGCAAAGATGTGAAGGCCGGTGACCTTCTTCTGGTAGAGTGGTCGGCCAACGGAGTTCCAAAACCACACGGCGTTGTCCGATTTCTGCTTCAACCAGGTTACTACCGATGCAAGGTATCGGCCTGTTCCATCCCAGTGCAACTCGCTAGCCATTGGGTGCTCCACCTTTGCCACCGATTGACAGTCGTTTGCATCGATAAACTCGATGCTTGCATCAGCCCTGTAGTTACAAATTAGTCCCACCTCATTTTATAGACACATGATTCGGTAATGTGAGTAGAAACCTATACAGCATCAAAATCTAACCCTAATAGGTAATTGTTCAGTATGGCGTATGCCAAATGAAAGGAATGAGCTAATGTATACCCCTTCAGCATAACTCACGTCCGCAGGTTGGCAACAACAAATGTGGATCCCTTTGGTGACCACCGCAGTTCGTTAATTCGGGAGTTTCCTCTGTCGAAGGTGCTTACCTCGCTGACCTTACCCGACTTTGTTAACTCGTATAGTGGGATAGTGATTTTCCCAGCATTATCTGTGGCTATGTATACAAAGCGACTGCCAGTGGGCTCCCAGGCGAAACAGGTCACTGATGCGGCGTCCTTCACGGAGACCTGGTCGATCGGGTAGAGCTTCTCACGCATGCGCACGATCTCAAAATTCACGAATGTACCCTATGCCAAAAAAAACCAATATTAACGGGTCGGTCCGCATGATCTTGGAAAAGATAAACTACTTTTGACGATAGCCAAACCTAGGTCAAATCCCAGTTTTAATTAACAACACAATCTTCGGAAGTTAGTGCACGTAAGATCGACACTGCATCATTAAGGATTACATAGAGAAGAAAACTTACAAGATACTTCACCTGCCCATCCTCAATTTTCTTCTTATTGCAACGGAGAACCTGAACGCAGAGGAAGTCACCCTGAGGGTGCCAAAGTAATTGAATCTCAGCCACTGAGAACAGATTCTTCGTGCACAACTCTTTACGCGTCGGAATAGAAATGAGGGCAACCCTACACAAACGGAAGCACCATAGGCGGCAGAACTGACGAAAGAAACCAACTATCATTTCCTCATTAGGAGAATTAGCAGTTTAAAGTACACAAATTTCTGAAACATCAAACAGCTGTTGAGACTTCCAGAGAGCGGTATTATGGTACAGGAGAAGCTAGAAGAGCACTAAAAAGTGGTTTGAAAAACATACCATTATGTAGCTCATTTGAAAATAGAGCAATGACTAGTCACTCCTGACGCACCGTATAGGTGGTGAGTATATTCTCTTTATCAAAACTCACCTTGCAGGTGTGTTATTAGTTTCCGGTGTCCAAAAAGAGATGATATTATCGGTTGGAGACCAAGCAAAGTCATTAATACCGACAGGCATGACGATAGGCTTCTTGTCCAGCAATTTGAAAGTCTCCGTTTCATAAACATAGATTTTACCACCCTGTAAGGTCGCTACGAAGGCATCATCGTGAGACCACTTGAAGGTCGGCCAGGAAGTTATGGAACCGGAGAAATTGCGACACGCCGTGCCTTTGCGAACATCCCAAACAACCATGTCGCACAATGAAGCGTTCTGCTTTTCACGTGCCTCGGCATTTTGACTCAGAGTCACCATGAATCTATTATGAAAAGACAGTGTAACATCGGGGTGATTTAAAGACGCCTGACGATGTTTCGAAGTTATCTCAAAGTAGCGAATAAGGCCTCTAGACAGCCATTAGCATTAAAAGGGAGAGTTGAAAAACAAAACAAGCTGATATTACGATCTGATCAAAGTTAATAAACGTGACAGCACACAAATCGGACCTTACTCCAAGCCATCCATCTAAAAAAATATTTAGTTAAGGACAAATTGAATCTAGAATTTTAAATTACTTTTCATTGGGAGAGAAGTCAAGCATTCCAATATCACGATGCGCAAATCTGCCGACTCGTTCAAATTTATCTCCACCCCAGAGAATTACGCCCTGTGAGTGCATAGTGGCGAGATAGGTCCCATACGGAGACCAGTGAATCCAACCCTCCGACCAGTCATCCCGTTGTTCAATGAGAATTTCTTCGGAATTTGTGTGCCAAAAGACGGAGCACTTGTCACCATCTTGATGAAGCAAGGCGAATTGGTCGCGAGCAAATTCATTCAGTAGCCAACTGCGTAAATTGCCCACGTCATGATAAGGCTTTTTCTCAGGAGGGACCCATTGTTTGCGAGCACTTGTGCATTTGGAAAAATCTGAAAGGCTCGTAACAAGAAGCGTGTGAGCCTTGTCAAGAGCAAAATTGTTCATTTCGTTTATGGCTTTGACAGCCCCTTCAGGTGAAGCGTAGGTTATGAACATATATCCACGTGTTTGCCCCTCGTTATTTGTTGGTAAATTGCTGAAGGTAATCTCACCATTGACTGAAAACTTTTTGAGTAAGACATTCTTTAATAAATCCGCCTTTTCCTTGCCGATAACGGGGCAGCCATCAACAATAACCGTATTCGCCGTCAAATTCTGCACAGTTGGTTCCTGTTCCAGGATATCAGGAATCAGCTCTGGAATAAACAACATAAGGTTTAAGGGTTTAGACTTGTTAAATCACGATTTACGACTGCCCCGCATAAAACGCTCCTAATAACCCACATGCAGTGACGAGGGGTAGTTTTGCTACTCAGACAAGATTGGAGTTAATAATAATAACTACCGAGCTAGAATTCTCAGTTACATGCTAAGTAGCCTCACAGCACTGATTAAAGCCCGTAATAACAAAAAGTTACCAGTATCATCTATTGAAGACATGAATCAATCTATTTAGGCTGAGAAAGGACCATACCGTGTTCACTAGCCAATTGGGCAGCAGTTCACTGTGGAATTGTCTTTTACTCATTGTTACTGTATGCATAATATCATACCAAGATTTGTAAAGTAGGCTCTAAACTAAATTACAATCATTTGAATATTATTTTTACTAAAAACGTTTAGGGTACGTGCAACGAATAAGAGCTGTTGTGTTAATCTACTTCTTTTCTATTTTTTGTAATTTAAAATACTACTTGCAAGTCAAGCAGCAATAAATTTTGATATCCTTTACCCCAGTGTGACTACGTTTTGGTTTTAGTGTTAATGATGTGCTATCACTGATTTTTCTTCGGTCCCAATTTCGTGACTGCACGTGTGGCGTAGACCACTCAATCTTACTTGAGCCATCATTGATATGAAAGTTTATCACACATGTTGAGTGTTTACCGTATTCTCAATTTTATTACCTTGAATAAGCTTTCAAAGATATGTAGGTGGTTTAAACGCTTATAACTGCAATTTTGTGTGCAAGTAGCCTATGAGTTTTCTTCCGTGCTACCCTTTCTAATAGCCAGCGATGTACTTACCTTATCCACTGAAAAGTACACCGGCCCCCTCTTTTTTCTAAAAGACATGAGAAGAACCCAACTAAGAATGCAAATTACCTATTAAGCGAAATCCCTTACCAGAGACGGTTTGCAATCCTTAAATCTGTTGACTAATTTTGTTAGCCACGCAGTTTAATGACTTCCCTAGATACCTTACAAAACGCAGTACCTAACTTCCAGGTTTGCACATACTTAGGTGGCAAGTTCTCCACTGTTAACTAGCATCCATCCTACCAGCTTCCAAAAAGCCTGGGAGCCCGCGTACCCGGACTCATTGAACCCGAGTCCAGGAAGTTCATCACCTTGAGACCAATTTGAGCACAAGCGAGTGGCACATTTCCCCCTTGTCTGCCCGAAGCATTCTACACCTGTTACCAACTCAAACCTTTCATCTCCATTCGACTATGCAGTCGCTCAGCTTGAGTTTGAAATAATGGGCAAATGGACATCTAACTTTTGTGAAATATTTAAGGGAGGAAGAAGAAGAAATTATTCATATTATAAAAAACGAGGCAAAACTTTGCGCAATCTACTTAAGTTTAAAATGCTACAAATTCGTAAGTAATGACGACTTGATTTCTCGAAACGAAGGCCGCTGCTCGCGCGTTGGCGACCAGCACTTCTGCATTAGCCTGTAAATCGACGGTGGACAGTGGTCTGGCCTCGGCAGACGCCTATTCTCCGTGAGAGCTCTGATTACCTAAAATTATGGAGAATGGCCAAAGGCGGGAATTAATCGAGACCCTCATAAGTAAAAATCACATCAGCTGGGAATTTGGAATGTCACGTCAATTAGAGATTATCACGCGAATGCATCCAATACACTGGGGACATCTTAAATGGAAAAAATGAGAGACATAAGGCACAAGAAAATGCATTTATAATGCTTCAAGGGCCTATCACTTTTTGTGCATTCTTATTACCAATGAAATTCCACCTATAACATAGATGTCCTTAATTGCGTTTCATCTGGAAATTACTTGAAAAGTGGAAGAAATAAGGTATTAAGAGTAGAATTTAAAGTCAAGATGTTGGCCCGACATACCTCGGACACCTCCACATTGCCGTAGGGCATTTGACCGAATGTGAATAGCTCCCAAAGGAGGACACCGAAAGACCAAACATCGGTGTCTACATTGAAGTGGCCTTGGAGGATGGACTCAAGGGGAAGCCAGCGGACGGCCAGCGGGGCCTCGCTGTCTGTATCCACCAAATCGGCAGCGCAGTTGTGCGGTAAGCGACGACACATCGAAAAGTCCGCCAACTTTACGTGACTCCCGTTCACTAGGCAATTTCGTGTGGCCAGATCCCTTCAGGCGGTAAGGAAGGTGAAGTCAATCCATCGTTTTTTCTGGCTCACTAACTTCTGCTTACTAAATATCAATGCTTGTTTTAATACTACGTGGAACTTCCACCACATCCACGGCTTTTCTGGCCCTCTGTACCATTAAACGTAATGTTACCTACAGACTCAAGAACCTCATCACAATTTCCTAGATAGCCGGGATACTATAGTGCCAGAACTTTGAAGGTACTGGACGAAAACTCAAAAAGGAAATGCTTATTCTAATGTGAATCAAAATATTTTTTAGATGGGAAGTGTTAACGTAGACATTTTAAAAGCACATCACATATTTAGTCGGGTGATAGAGGTAAAGTCAAGTTTCTGAAATAGCTGATGAGCCAGCGCTCAAATCCATAGCGTGCGTACAAAAACTGAGGAGTACTGAGTAAATACACAAAAAAGTGAAATAACCAATCACTAAGTAGCATCACATCAGATGATCAAGAAATTTGCGAGGTTTTCCATATGGATTGTTGCAATAATTTGCTGTAACTTTGAAAGGCTTGTAAATGCATGTGAATGCTTGCATGGATTACAAAAAAAGGATATACGTCAATCTATCAATGGGTTTTATTATGCTCTGTACGCCTTGCCTGTTCTTTTGAATCCTCGTTAAATTTAGACCAAACTTGGTGGAAATTATACTAGGTGGCTTGCTTCGTAAATCATGTTTAATAAAACAACGCAAGGCTTCGTGTCTCATTCCCCAAAACTTCGTCGCGAAAAGATTTTTACCTTAGGATGAGAGAGAGATACCACTACATTCTCATCTTCTATATTAGCCTCATATTTCTTCAAGTGGTCATCGCCCTCTCTTCGCATTGGGCGGTCACGCGGGCCAGAATGTACAGGTGGAAAATGAACGTGGCTAGAGCCATGTACTTTTGCTTTTGGAAACAATAAGCTTCATAAACTGGAAATCGCAAGCTTGTGTTCCGTTGAGAAGAGTTAACATTACAATGGTGAACACTATAAGTTTTCGACAGTTGTCTAAATTTGTAATAGGGGATTGTAAGAACTAAATTGGTTAACCCATATTTATTACAAGCTTTCAATGCAGCGGAGTATTCAGTTGATAATACGGCCTACCAAATTATGGGTAAGCAGGAGCGCATACTCCTTTGAAAGAATCAAATACAAAAGAAAAAAAATATGTAATGAAGTGCCAATACTCTTTATTAAACCATGAAACACTGAGTTTCTCACTCTATACCTTTATCATCTGTAATTTGTGCTCAAAACTTTAAGGCTCCCTGCAAACAAGATCCCGACTTTGGAAAAATTAATTACAACCGTAGGAAATGATTGTGCCACTCATACTTGTACACCTTAAAAATGCATTGCATGATCTTCGAAATTTAATAGTCATTGAAAGACCGAAAATCGTTTGTTTAGCTAAATTTCAAATTCAGATTACAATAAATAACTGATTAATGTCCTTATGTAATTCCCAAGAGACCTAATAGATACCATTGGGAAATTAAAGGTGTAGCAGAACCGTTAATAGTGAACAAGAAGTCCAAAGCTCATGCATTCGCAAATGCGAAACCACTGGGTGAAGTGTTTGTACCCAGTAAAGGTATTTGGTTGATACTTGGTAAATTACCAAGGTTTGCACACGTTACTAAACTGCCTTGCACCCTGAATAATTTAAGATAAGATGAAATAAATATAAGGTAGAGAGGAGAGGAGTAGGCGGTACCTGTGGACGTAGAGCTTGCCACTCAAGTAGATCATGGCCTCGCAGACACCCAGAGCAAAGCGGAGCAGTGTGGGGGTGGGGAGTGCCTCATCATTAGCTACGAAGGCAGTGGAGGCCTTATCGGCGTCGCTTCCCGTGTCGTCGTCGTTGATGACAGAAAAGGCGAGTTCGTTGGTGGCGGAGGTATGCGGACTGGCCGCAGCGTCCCTTGCATGGTGTAGGAAGGTGTTCAGATCGCCATCCCGCATGTATTCGTAGATCAGTGAGTAGGGTTGCAGTGGTATGCAAATCCCTAAATGGTATTAGGGGAAAAGGAAGTCCCCGTGTTTTATTTTGATATCAGCTGAGTCATTATGGTATGTTCATAGCTGACAGCACTGGAAAACGATGATTTGACTAAAGACAAGATCTAATGAAAAATTACAGTTACCAGATGATGAAAATTCTACTTTAATGTAAAAAGACAGACCTATTAAGACTAAATCACTATTGTTCGTTTCACAGTTTCCGTCTATTCGAATCTAGACTATCTGCTCTGGAATTTTTAGGAAGTTTACCAGACCTTGAAAGGGCGCTGAAAAGGCACTCATTAATTCCCTACTAGTCTTTTTGAACAGGAAACGTCTCTTGTCTAATGGATGCAGTACTACCAGTAATCCCTTATGCAACAGATTTCTTGGGTGAGTTTAAAACGTATCAATCTGAACTTTGCAGCCAACACACCCAGGGAGGTGTGTTTTAGTGCAATACTACTAATTGGGGGCTACAAAAAGGATGACTGAGCTCATGGGGACTATTTTACATCGTCCTGTTACTCAACCATTCCGTCAATCATCATTTTGCATTCTTTACTGTCAAATTTACAAACACGCTAATAGACGTTCTAAGAGAACGATACATACTGAAAGGAGGCAGAGCTGACCAGAATAAAATACTGTGTATAAAACGGTGGAAGTGCTTCGCAAAGTACGACAGATGCTGTTGCAAGAAAGATGTGCTGTACCAATGATCCGCACGATATTCGGATGGTCTAGTTCGATCAGAAGCTCAGCTTCTCGGAAAAAGGATGTTTCAGCAGCCGGTGTTGCTCCAAAATTGAGAGTTTTGATAACCACGTACGGTGATTCCGGCACGTCTAATCCTTCCGACAGATCTGTGATTTTAAAGTGCAAAAAATAAACTCACATTTAGATGATTACATTGACCAATCACAAAATTATTCTCATAAAATGAAATAGTAAAACCATTTACCACTATCAGCAAGACCGAACCTTTTTTTCAGGGAAAAACTTGGGGCTCTAGCGAGAATCACGTGACCATAGGCGGATTTTGCAAGAGTGCGTTCCTCTATCAACAATTTACGGGAATACGAAAGCTGTTTCAGTCTGGACGAAAACAGGGATGAAGTGTTAGTAATCAGAATTATCCCAGCCAATCCGAGAGGTAGCCCAAATACGATGGCTCACTTGGGATGCATGAACTGGCCAGCAGAGACTAGCATAAAGGCGCTATCCAGATGGACGTGGGCAACGTTAGCACCAGCGAGACAGTGGGTGTGATGCAAGCCATGCCTGCAAAGGACGATGGAAGCCTCGGTGGAGGAGGGTTCACTTGGCTGAAGGTAAGAGTTCAGGCTTGAGATGGGTGGGTGGGACGCGGTGTCGGCGTCGGCGTGTTCAGCCGAGCCCGTTGCCTCGGAAAGCACTCCCAGTGGCGTGAGGTGCGGCTGGTTATCAGTGTACGAAAGCACCCCCACCGCCGATGGCCGCTCGTGAAGGTGATTCTGGCGCAAAAACTCAACTAAGTGTTGCACTTCCTCATCCTCGTCGTCCGGTGCCTTCTCCAATGCAGTTTCAGCACCAGCCTTGTGAAGAAGGATGAGAAACTCTTCAGTGGGAAATCACGCCATCAATACATTGCTTAGTTTCATTATAGGAAATTCCTCTGTAAGCTGGAAATAGCTCTTGTTCAGACTCCTTCGCGTTTCTCGAATTTGGGGAGACGTACATAAAGAATAATTCTGTTGGTCATTCGCATTAAGTACGAATATGTTTAGAAATAGATATCTTTATTTAGCCAGTGGCTTGAGGACTCAAACCTACGCATGAATTTATCGTGAAGTGTCGCTCCATATAAAAAATTCCAAAGCTTACTTGACAAATCTTGACATTATTTACCTCGGTGAGGAAATTTATAAATCCATAAGTAGTGTTTTTAGTAAACTTAGATAACTCCATAAATTAAATCAACCTTAAAAGCAGTATCTGTCTTTGGCAAGTGGGATCCCTTGGAAATCTTGCCAAATTTAAGATTGCTGTAAGCAGTCACTTAAACCTTTAAACATTCTAGCGTTTGGAGTACAAATTCTCCACTTGAAATAATTAATTTCCATGCATTGAGACTTGGTACTGTAGACAAAAATTTGTCACCGACACGTAGACAGTCAACGCGATAAGACCGCGCATCACTACGAGCACACATGTATCGCCAATGAATAATGCCCCATTCGTCCAACTAAGAATGTCACTGGTAGCGTTTCCAGACACCGGCTTCCACAGAAATTAATCAAGACTATTCGTCTTCTGTGCGGAAATTCTGCAACGGAGCCAAATTAATCGCTACGAGGTAAAATCTACACATTGTTATGCCCGTTTATTACCCTAACGACTAATTTTCGATCTGAAAGCCAAAGTTGGCTCAATGGTGATTGACCAATTTATCAAAATCGTAAAGGTGGGCTTCCCTTAGATCCTCTGAGACAAAAGCGTCTACTTTTTCACAGCGAATTCTAATCGATCCGGCCTCGGATTGATGCCTCTACAATCCCAAGCCTATGTAACAATTTAGACAGCGTGTTTACGCGGTGATTAACTAATGCAACAATTTACAACATAATGAAACATTCAGGCGGTTCCTATTTACTCAACCCAGAATCTACCACCAGAAGCGAATAGAAAGAATGGATGCAGTTAGCAACGTTAACAATAGTTATTTTAATCACGTGAATAAAAAAGCAGCCTTTAGAAACAGACGCAAATACACCTTAGCAAGGGCGGAGCAGACATTTCACAGAACGAATTTGCCAATTCTCACCAAAGTAGAACGCTCACCTTCGTCGGGTCTATTTTTTCATGTGTTTCTATGCAGCAGCAGCGATGACGACAGCAAGCCCACTGGCCGCCACCATCGTTCTTGCCACAGGCATCCTGGAGGGTGTAGAAACAGCACAGAAGGCAGCGGCCAGAGCAATTGGTTTCGCGCAGCCTCACCCGCCGCGCCACGAGTTGCGCGCGCCGGTTCTCACGCTCCTCCTCTACTGACACTCGTGCCTTCTCCTGCCGACAGGCACGCAGAATGTAGGCGAGTGCGAGAAAAATGAGGAGGAAGAAGAAAGTGCACATTGTGGCAGTAATCGAGATCATCTGTAGAGAGGATGGAGAGGGAGCGCGGACAGATCGGCGGGAGTAAAAGAGGCACTAGAGGAAAAAAGCTTTACTCTATGGATGGTTTTTACGCAACTCACATTGATGCGCTGCTGATGGCGTAGGAGGTTGACATGATTTACCAGTGGAGTGGAGTTGGCGAAAGCGCAATCAACCAAAAAAGAGCAGTTAAAGAGCGTGAGAATCCCGGGGGTGCTGCGGCTGGAGCCCACGCAGAAAGGCTTTGGGGCAAGACCGAGGGGATTGCGGCAAACCGAGTAATTGGAGGGAAGTGGTTCGAGCGCTTCGCGTGGGATGATGGAGGGGCTGAGGGAGGTCAGCGGATCAGGGCTATCCGATTTTACGTAGTCCAACTCCACCCACGGCAGACAAGACGTGGGAGCTGGAGCAGTTCCTCTATAATCTACACCATATCCACTGTAGCAGTCTACAAGTGCATAAAGAAATTAACACGTTCCGTGGACACAAAGCCATGACAGTTGCCAAGTGTATGAAATACGGAATTAAAATGAGCTCAAACTGGTTCTGCTGAATGCACAAGAAAATTTACTTTGATTGGATTCTGCCTCAAGTAGACAAAAAAAGTGCGAACGAAGACCATTTCAGAAAGACTAACTTGTGCCACACAATATCAAGAGAGTTAAGTGTGTAAGAGACCAAACGAAAAGCGCTCAATGGCTCAAATCCAATTAAAAACTAGAACCCCAGTTAAACTTTAAAGTAAAAACCACATCGCATCTAACTAAATGCCATTGTTCTCTCTCGTAAATAGGCCGGATTTTAAGTAAAATAAAGTCTAATTCGTAAAATGTGTATCTAGTCTTGATACTAACCAAAGAAAAGTGAATTTTTTTGATTCCACGGTTTAACTCCCCCTTGATCACTTCAACAAAACTCAAATTGGCAGGCATGTAAATGCGCATCAGGCGAGAAACCTGAAAGGCAAACACCAAAATCCCCTACTTTGTGAGGCACTCGGAGTGGCAGCACGCCGTGGCGAGAGAGCAGCGAAACTCAGTGATTGGCAGGCGGAGGTGGGTGCGTCACGGAACTGTCCCCCCACATTTTCTCGAAAGGAAGTCGGGGAATTAGTGGTCACCATCCGCGACAGACCGGTGCAGCCATCATCCGGAAGGATCTGTGAGATGTTGTCACCTCTAGCCAGCAACTCCCGCCAGCCTTCGCCTTGGGTGGCATTGGGCTTGTAGTCCCACAACGCAGCGCGCTCGTGGCTGGTATTGAACGAGGCTGCACAGATGAGGGCTGTTATCAGAAAGCAGTGCTGCCTGGAAAGAGGAATAAAGAAAGTAAAGGCTTCATAATCCTCAGATGTACCATCGTGTTATAATGCAACAACTTAAATGCGTGAACGAAATTTACTAAAGTGGCAAACCGCACATAGACAACAGTATCTCTTATAAAAATTCCATAAAGCATAGAAGAGGAAAATTGGAGAGCAAAAATGGAGGTTGCTTGCACTTGTATGTGACGGTGAATGCTCGCTCAGAAATATAATCAAAAGTTAGAACCGAGTATTTATTAATGTTAAAATTACTTAATAGACCATAGCAGATTAAGTAGTATACACAACTCAAACTCCTGTTCGAAATGTGATAAACATGTTAACTGTCCATCAGCTGATTGCTTGAAACCAACAAGAGCACATTAAAAATATCCTTTTTAAAAGTGTTTTCTATATCGATGTTCTGTGCAAAGGATGAAAGAAGGTGAACACTCACTGAAGGAGCAATTAAAATTTACTGCCAAAGATAGTGTAAAGCATGCAAGAAAAAAAACTAATGACGAGCTTATCAAATGTGATACCCAGTTGTGCTTTGATGGACAACTCCATAGTCCCCTCCCTAGCATCTTATTGTCCTCTAGTACATAACTACGTTTTACTGGACATTTTACTTCGGAAACGGTAAAAATATAGATTTGACGTTGTATTACAATAAGTATAAGTTGAGAAGTTAGATAATAACAGTTCATACTTATACAAGAATTCATTTTTTGGATTAAGATGTCTATCTAGGAAAACCGAGTGGCGTATTCGACGAAATTTTTCATTAGCTCTAATGACCCGACCGATGTGATCAATCCCAAATACCTTTACCGGAACTGATAACGGCCTGCCCAAAACACGGGTGGAAATGTTTTCTAATAAGCACTATCCATATGAGGCAAACATAAAACGCTTCAGATGACAATTTGTACATTGAGAACTGCCCCTAAGAGCTTTATTGCGGCTAAGTAGGTATTGAGAATTGTAAATCACTTGGTTTGGGAAGCGCAAATGATACCATTTTAAAGGTGTACAAAGATTCTGTCCTACCAAGACCTGAGTTTCATGTTCCAAAGCTTCCCGCAATGTGTCACTCGTAGACATGGAAATCTCATTAGCTACCCCCAAGATGAGCCCTAATTGCAGACAATGGGTATCATGTTTCAACAATGCAGTTTCGAACAAAGCCACGGGTGGGTAGGTAGGTACCCACAAGGACAACATAGCTAAAACGAAGGCTGGCATACTAATTATCCACACAATGACTGTTATTATGAGATCCTGAACATCAAAACCGTACCGAAATCAAAATCCCGTCCAGTTGGTCCAGCTACTACTTGCTGTAGCACTAGTTTCCTTACGTTAAAATATCCACTCGTGTACAGTTATTCAAGTACAGAAGTTGGAGGATGTTATACTTTGATTTGACCCTATTCCTCGCTACAGAAAAGTAAGTTTTCTCTGATCCTAAGGTTCAAAGTATTGAGTTTACTTTTGTAAACAAGATTTGTTTGCACAAGTATTGGGCCTAATGCAGGAGAAAAACATACATTTACAAGGAGGGGAGTGGTTACATCAAAACTATGAGGAGATAACGCAAGTTAGTTCCCCTATTTGTTGACATATCAAAAATTATTGAATGCGACACAGGTCTTTAATTTACAGATCAGATTCCACCAGAAAGTACCTCAAAGTAAGCATAATTACTACTTTCAAGACCCTTTTAGAACTCAATACGCCGTCTTTGTGGATTTCAAGAAATCATTACACATACAGTCTTGCAAGCTCTGTTCTCTGCATTAAAATTTCTGTTGTGTGGACCTCGATTTGAATTGACAAGTGCCACAAAACTAAAGTATTCTCAAGGGAACGGAATGAGAAAGGGCTTCGAAAGTGGGAAAATAGGGTCATAAGTTCAGTGGAGACTGGGGCGGCGTGCTAATGAGTGTCTCCGCTCTAACTCGTTCTTGGTGTCAAACTCCAAGGGGATAATTCACAACATCGCATGCATAAAGGCCATAGATTCGGGTGTCAGTGACTGTAAAAACAGGCCCAGGGCTTAGAAGAATATACATAAATGGTTGCATCAGGCAGGAGGACATGTTAATCCACAGTTTATCCAAAGTAGTTGAGGGAGGAAGAGGGAGAGGAAAGAGCGAGACCAGTGAGATGTGGAGGCAGCTCAATTCATCTCAGTAACTATAGCGGTAGCCCTGGTCGCGGCCAGAGTCTTGAGGATCTGTGTGTGTGTGTGGATGGGTGTATCCACACGTACCTGCTGCCAGTGCAATAGAGTTGTGTGCCCAAGCGCGTGTATGGACAGTGGGTGCATGTATGTGCGCAGAAGCCGTGCGTACTCCACCCTTACCCGAACCCACGACAGAGTTGCCCTAGAAAATGGAGCAAAATAGTGCTGCGCTACTGCTGCGAGCATTTACTCTACCTAAGACCTCATAGGCGAGGAGTGCACCTTTAGTAATAATTTTTGACCTAGTCAGGAAAAACCCTCACCGCATCATTGCTTCTCCTTGATATAACGTCCTCCATCGACAAATTAAATCAGCCTATAAGACCGCCTTCCCCCTATCACAAATAGGTTTTACAGTTAGGCGATGCGATTTGAAAGAAATTAATCAAGATGAGTCTCAAGGCAAATTTGCGGTGGTAGATTTTGCCTAAGAGGATTATACCCTCTGAGCTCATTCGGGAAATTGGAGGGCAAGTGCTGCTTCCAGTATTGTCATTATGCTACTGACAGCCATTTGAGTAGCATTGGTGACAAATAACTGAGATCCTAATATTAATCAATCAGGAATTAGTAAAGAATCCACTGATTGAAATGTCCCACTCACTTACCGAAAAGTAGTAATGCAGGTCGACCAAATGGCGTTAATGTGGAAGGTTAATCAATGGAAAGAGAAAGGGAAAGAGGTGAGATGCAACTCACTGGCAGATGGGAAATTCGCGCGAAGAGAGGAATTGCTTGTCAGGGTCCACGTCAAAGCTGTTGAAGTCCTCAATGTAGGCCTCAATCTCAAGGCAACGGGGGAAAACGATGAGGCAGACAAGACGTTTGGCTTGCTGCAAACAGCGGAGGTGCGGGCTCGCAGGCGGTGCGTTGGGTGGCACGAGAGAGTCCCATTTGCGGAACGTTGAGGCCAGAATCCGATTAGTGCTCTCAGCAAGTAAAAGGCGCGAAGTAGAGATTGTGTAGACACTACCCGCGGAGCCTTCGGCTTCCAGAATGCCGGAGCACACGGAGGGTGCTGACAGCATGAATGGATGGCAGGCTGACCTACGGTTCAATTCATCATGGGATACATCAGACCATTGTGAATTTAACCACATAAAGTTCAGATGAGCATTCCGCTAGAATGCAAGGGATGGTACCCTTGACGGCTGCATTTGTATTAGGGTTGAACAATAGTTTACTTTGAATAGCCCAAAAGTATTCTAATTGATTCTGGGAAATGCAGGTGTTAAGCTTTTCACCAGCATTTTTCCGACCAAATTTAATATTTTACTCCGCAACCACTCTGAATTACGCTCGGATATAATTTATTGGAACTATGATGTAACCTACAAAAAGTGATCTTACGAGATTAAAGCGGAACCTTGAAGGACAAATCTGAAGTAGGACGAAATGGAAAGCACTTTGTATAATCCAAGGTATACGTATTAGAATGGTTTGTGCTAAATTTTTTTGAATCTGCTGATGGTTTTTCAGCTTGCTTCCATCTAACCAATCAAAAAGGGGGTTTACTGTATTCAGGTGCAAAGTAATGGAGCAGCATTCTTTCCAATTTTACATGTGACTTCTATTCTCCAACATTATTTGCATCAGTCTTCTGCATGGACTCTGCCCTGCTAATAGTTTCGCGGTAGATTCATATGCCGTTCCCTGGAATGATACCATTAGCACATCTTTAAATAAAGCCAAATTCGACTCTGATCAAAATGTATTAAGATCGTTTTTGATAAACACAGAAACTTGATTCTTTGTTCGATGTTGATCCTACCTCCTTTATGATTTCCACCAAAGATTTCAATGTACACCGCCAATGTACTTGCATTATTTGAAGTTTTTAATGAAAGCACCATTGAGCTCAAGACAAGTGATCATGCTAATGTAGACTGTCTAAAACCAAAGCTTTAGAGTTAATACTAAGTTATAAGAAGGAGGTAGATATAAGGATAGCTTTCATAATACCCCTTTAAAATTAGCAGTTAACATTCACTTATCCATCTGTCTGAAAAGTGTGAACTCAAAGCTAGAATTTAAACTAAGAAAAAAATATTATCATAGATTAATTTACAGTGATCAAAAGATCTTGCATACTTTATGCAACCTGCACAGTTAACGCAGGCTATACTGGACATTTCATTGGCATACGGTCTATTCTCAAATGTTCTAGAAATCAAAAAAGCCTTTACTTTTATCCCATACTTATGAAATCTAAAGTAGTGTTGTGGAAATCTTTCTAACACCATATCAAAAACGGTTTTCCAAGAAGCGGTCGCAAACCAACGGAAGTGTTGCATGGAATAGATAACAGTCCACAGCACTGAAGAATTGGAAATAACTTACCAATCACTAAGGTGGTTCAAGTGAGTCTTTTCTTTGACGCCTAAAATAACCAAATATAAAGGAGAGGATGATGGAGTATCGATAATGTTAGCAACAATAATAGTAATGACAATGATGGATGTGCCAAAAGTGCATGGGAGAGGAAACCGTTAAACGTGTCCAAAGGCCTGTAATTGTGGAGACGCACACGAACCCAATATGGACCGTGGAATCCAAGAGATGTCCATCAGCATTGCATCGTCGTCATCAGTGGCGAGGAGAGAGAGGGTGGGACAGCGAATGAAGAAGGAGCTGATAGGCAGACCTCTAAGCAGGTCAAGGTGTACCGATCACACCATTGTTTTTCCCTCACCCACACCCCGCCTCTTCTCCCAACACAACCACCGCTCTATCACACGGTTTCTCACGGAACGTATGTCCACTTTCCCAAGTGTCTGCATGTCACAATGGTGCTCCTCCCTACCCTCTGTCTAATGAACCCAGCCACTTAAGATCAGCATTACTGAAGGAATAAAAAATGTCTGGCTTGACAAAAGGTCTGCAACATCTGTGTAGAACTGGTCCAGACACCGATCCTCTCTATTAGATAGCTGTAGGTAATATAATCTTATTAATGTTATTTTGCCGATAAAAATGGAGCGAAAGATAAGATAAAAGCAACTTTAAAAGGTTCGTCAACTTGGAAAATAACTTGTTAAGTCTTGAATCAGGTTACAGTTAAAAGGTCGATCAAATAAAATGTTTTAAAACCGAGGCACAGCAGTAAAAACAATTTGCTCACGTACTCTCGTACAAGAAGGGCACTTGTAAGATGCCTCAACACCTCGTGGATAAAAACTCGATCAACTACGTAGAAAAATGACTTATTTATGAGGTATCAATAAGTGGATGTTTACAAAATTCTCATACATAAAATGCTCGATAAAGGGAAGGAATTTTCTGGTCTCTTGTGAATCCGACTCAAATAAATCAAAGACTTATTGCATTTTAATCAGATCAGACGCAAATTAGGTAACAAAAAACGAGCCCTAAAGTTGGAAATTCATTTGCTGCGATTGCATTTCATAGCATCGTTTGGCCAAGTACAGATAAAAAATGCACTAGTATAATCACTGTCAAATGTCGAGGCCAGGGTTCTGAAACCACAAATAGCGTTCACACCTTGTTGTTCATTAGCTTTCTGAATGGTCTTAAGTGCTGTTTGAAACCATCACTGTGCTGTCGCATTGGTTGCATAGTGTGACTCGTATTCCAAAGTAACAAATTTCCTGTTCATCCATTGGTTCAAAAAATGGGACGGGAAAAAGCAACATATCTAAGGGTCAACGCAAAATAAAACGCGTATTTAAAGCAGTCAAAAAGCGAGAACAGCCAGAGCGAAATGTCAACAAAAGACCGACCAATAGCTTCAATTACAGAGACCAAAATAGATTTTCGACTTTCAAGGATAGCGAAAGGTCCCACTCACCAGGCTCGACGCTCAGATAAGCAGAGGCCTTCTCCTCCCCAGCAGAATTGAATGCACGACATTCAATTACCGTGTCATTGAATATTCGTACGCGTTTCCATGGCCAATTCTTAAAAGCAAGAAATAGCAGAGCGAATAACTCATTTGGGATCGTGAATACACGGAAAAGCATGGCACGTAAATGAGTGATTCACGTAATTTTTGTATGTTGGTCCGATTATTGCAACGTAGTCATCGAGGTGATTTGTTTAGTCTACTTGAATCACGGCTCATTACACACAAAGAAAAGATGTCTTGAAGTGCACAGTCGTAGATGCTAAAAGTAATTCGTTTGTGAAGTCCTATTTAAGCGACTGCCTCAAAAGATTAGCCGAAGCGACAAGCGGTCGCACACAATCCCCAACAACATCATATTAGCGACTCACAAGCTCTACTTTATTCAACCGTCGCAATTGTAAGGAGCGTATTTCCATCATAACGACGACAAATTCAAACGCTTATAAAAACAGCTAGTAGTTTAACTAAAATAACTACCATTTTATTCAATCAATTTATTATGTAAAGGGTAATTTTGATGTAAGTAGAAAGCCTGAAATACCATATCATTTAAAGACCTCGCTTCTCAAAAAAACTAGTTCAAATCAGTTGGAAATATCAACCTCTTGGTGACTCTTGTTCCAGTTAAATTGATGCCAGAAAACCAGTTGACAATTAAAGGATTTTCACATCCTTTTCTACTTTATGAAACCTACAAATCCGACTAGCCATTATCGTACCAACCTAGTTTGCATCTCAACCAAAGAGAGTAATCGTGATTGTACAGCTCCTTAACTTAAAACGTAGAGATTGCATATCTTAGAAGGTTTAGTTGCATGATGCACTTAAGCAATTACACAATTCCTGCACTGGTAGTAAATTCAAATTTAATAAACAAACACAACCACTCATAAGAATACCGTGGATATGTGGACTACTTATTTTCCAGACACTATGCCAACAATAAAGATTGTGTCGAACCACTCCAGTCGAAGGTTGAAATCAACACCAGGAAAATAAAGCTCGGATGCGTAAAACCGCTTTAGCTAGAAAATGTAATAATTATAACAGCACGTACACAAAGAACAACGAAATGAGCAGCAAATCTGATTCTATTAATTTTACCAAAACAAGCATTCGATTGGTTAAAATATTATTTACACTGCATCGAAGAGGTCTAAAAACCATTGTAAGAGCCTATTTTGTACTGGAACAAAACTAGCCTAAGAGCTACACCTTTATTAAACTCAGCACACATTCATTGCATAAAAATACTGGAAAGCACTTACCCCACCATTAACTTTGATTTCTAGTGTCGATTTAATACCCCCTGCCTTACAGGGAATTTCGTACTGCTCATTCCGTGCGACCGTTACATTTCTTAAATCATGCTCAAGAAATGCGGGAACTAAAGCGATTTTGAAAGAAAAAGACATGAATGATTGCCCGATAAATAAGTCCATATGCATACTATTTGAGTGGTATTATGCAATTTAATTTACCTGAAGTTCTGGCAATAGGAATTTAGTGCGTGTTCAACCCACTGGGATTCGATTAACTACGCTATCTTGAGGACATTCTACCCAATAGCATTGCGTGGTATATTCCCACGGAACACAGTAAAGGGATCAATTTAATTGTTTAGCTGACTAATTAGCGTACCATATACTAAGACATTACTTAGAGAATGAAGGTACAGATCAATTAAACCAGTAGCTATAACAAATGATTAAAAATGCAGAACTTGAGACGGTACAAAGTCTGACGAATAAAAGCGAGAGCAATAGTAGGAAACTATTAGCGGTATCCAAAATATTTCCAACAGTATTCCCAATGGTTGCTTTCTGAAAAACTCGCAACAAAACAAAACAAACACTATTTGCTGTCACACCGATGTAATGATCAGTCAGCCAACAAAACCAAGTGATATAAACGCAAAAGGAATAAACGAGGAATGGAGGGAATAAAACAAGTAAAAAAGGATGTGAAAAGCCTACTGATAGGTGATATGACATATGGCATGAGGTGGCCAAAGATTTCTGTTCCATTCGGCAGGATAGCAAAACCACGGCACCCGTAGGCGTGATTCACATCAGCCATACGAGCAGTGATTGTGAGAGAACCGTTGTGTTCATGCAGTTTTAGGAATGGCGATGAGTCTGCAGTGACGAGATCGTTATCGCGGTACCATTCCCACCGCGACTTGACCGAACCCACGACTTCAGGAATTGGACATGGATCGAGAGTGACCGTGTCGTTGACTTTGACAGAATGAACGATTTTGGAGGCCCCGCCCAGTGCGATTAGGGAAAAGTAGACAAAAACGAGGACCTTACCAAATGTATGAAAAGCTTCATTAGGCTCCAGAACTCAAGACATTTAAATTTAGCGTTAGGTAGAAACATGGGATTAAAAAAGTGGAGGACGTAAACGCATCCTCATAATTTCAGTACAGCAGCCCTCAGATATCCTAATTTAGTATATTAGTGGGAAATTCACAAGCAGTGACACAGTAAAAAAGCAGAACAATGAGCCTGCTACTCAGACTTATAAAACTTGGGGATAAGTGTTTATGGGCATATGTAGATAAATACGTGCAGCAAATTCACGTGCAAATGATTTGCGCATGTATGCTTGAAATTACCTTGTGGTTCATTCGGTTTCGGGACCATAAATAGCATACAAGGCACGAAGAATCATCAAATTTACTGTGAAATGAATGAAGATACACAACACCAATTGCACTTGGGGATTATTTAATCCTAATTAGAAACACGGAATTCAACGACACAGATTTCTTAGTGGGGGATTGTAGATGCCCACCGACGGGTATTGAGCCAATTATGAGCTG